TCGGCCGGTCCGTGTTGCCGCTGGTGGGGTGGTGGTGCAGAGCCGGCTTCCTTTCACCCGGAGCATGCCGCGGGGTTCCCTGTCGCATGGCTCCTGCGCTGGTGGGGACATCGGGGGCAGGATGCCCACGCTCGTCTGTTGTATCTGGTCTGGTCCCAGCTTGTCTGTCTGGTGGAGCTGGGCCAGCTGCCCCGTACCGGCGCGGTTGGGACAGTCGCTGCCCGGTCCCGGTCCCATGGGCAGCAGCGTCCCGCCCCACTTGCGCAGCGATGGCCGAGTCGTGCAGAGCTCCAGCTGGAAGGGGACGGGCCCCACGGACGTCTCTGCGGCTCCCAGGGGAAGGGGCTCATCCGCAGTGCCCGGGTGGGTCTGGAGACCCTCAGAGGCGCTGAGCACGGGGAGCCCCGGCTCGGCCGAAGCAGGGAGCGGGTTCCCAGCTGGCGGCGGGCGGGAGGCTGGTCCTGCAGACGCCTTGTTGGTGGTGTTTGCGGGGGGCTGCCGGCGTGCGTGGCGGTGAGCCCTCCTCTGGGGTGGGAACGGGCGTCCAGCACCGGCCCCGCACGCCTGAGCCCTGTGGCCGTGACCACAACTCTCTTTTCCAAGGGTGCTGCGTCTCGCCGCCGGTCACCTGCCCTGGCACAGCGTGAGCTAAAGCCGGTTTGATGCCTTTTGGGGGTTTTCCCCCCTCTAATGGACTGGCCTTGTCCCGGCTCCAGTAACGCTCCCGTTCCTTTCATCGTCCCGGCTGGCACTCGGTGTGCCGGAGCAGGGTCTCAAGGGTTTTGTTCTGAGCTCTGTAACGAGCCTGGCTTCATCTCCCTCTCTGCGGGGCACTCGATCTCCCTCTGATCCCCCCTCGTCCTCCTTCGTCCTCGTGCCCGCAGGGGCTCCGTGCGGGGAGCAGATGGCCCCCTCGCAGCCTGCTGAGGGCACGGGGCGGTCTGGCTCCAGATGGCTTCTTGTTAAAGAAGAGGGGCCAACCCAGGCCCTGTTAATCCTTTAAAGGAAAGAGTAATGCGATTATCTCGCAGAACGTGCCTCGCCTCCGAACGGCCGACACCACGGCCTACGGCAGGGGCTGAGTGAGCGGGTGCGCTGCTGCTTACAGGGCTCCTCTCCCCCTGGGGTCGTGGCAGGTCCTCCGGCCTCCGAGGGACATCCCAGGGGACCTGAGGGACATCCCAGGGGACCTGGCGCTGCTGCAGAATGGTGGTGGTTTTGCAGCAGAATGGTGGTGGTTTTGCTGTTCCCTGTGAACCCGGGGAGCCGTGCGCTGAGCAGCATCTGGCGCCGCAAGCTGGTGGTGCCACGTAAATGAGCCGGAGTTAACCCCAGCAGCATCACCGGCGGCTCCCGAGGCCAAGATAAGATTCAGCAATCTTCTTACCTGCGCCGGTGCCAAGAGCTCCGTGTTCCTCCGCGTGGCGTTACGATAAATAACTTCTGCAGGTCGCCGGGCGCTTTTAAAGGAGGGCTCTAAAGGCGCTGACACCCGGGTTCGGCCGTTGCGAAATTGCATTTTCCCAGCTGCTGTTCTGCTTGCGAGGGCTGTGCGGCTGGGGCCGTGCTGGTGGGTTTTGAATCCTGGGGGTGGAAAGAAAGTTTGTGTTCTCGGTTTGGAAAGCTGAGCTGTGTGTTAGGAGAGGAGCGGGGTCGTTAGAGCGGCTCCCGCCCCGCCCCCCCTTCCCCAC